GTATGAGCATTTACATTTAATCCTTCTTTTCTTCTTGACTCAGAAATGCCTAAACTCTAGCTTAGGAAACTCACATCTGAAGGGGATATTTGAAGTAATAACCAATCCTAAAATGATTTTTTATCTCAGTCTCACAAATGGAGAATGTTTCTTGCTGTCTCCAGCCATGTGTTAATGGTTTCTCTGAGGTCACCTGTACAGATAGATCTTTTGAATTTCACTTGGAACACATGTGGTTTTAAGCTAGATGTTAATTGGAAACATTTATAGTGTCAAACATTTGATTAATGCTCTGGGTTTTAATTGAAAGGAATAAGCGTTTCTTAAATCAACTGCAGCATACTATAGTTTAGAGGGGATGTTCTTAAAATAGACTAAAATTTATTTGCAAACTAAGTAATATTTTAAGAAGAATCATCATGATGCAAAGCTGATCTTCCTTGCCTAATCCCTTTTAAACCAATATTTTTGAGATAACTATTTTACTAGTTAACTGATAATTAAAAGGGAAAATCAGATGCCAATAAATGCAGTGCTGCTTTTAACTCAGAAGTAAAGTGAAGATGATTTCACTCTACTATGACTTTCTGATATAATGTAAAACTTTTTATATGTTTAACCCTTTGAATAACATAGTCTAAGAGAAGAAAGACCATTGTCCCTAAGATGAGAGTTACTCTCTGTGGCTAGGACCCTCTAAACTGAAACCAGTAACGTTGTCATGGGGCGATACTCTGTAGGTGTGAGAAGTCCATAGCGGGGCTCAGCAGAGTTCAGAAGATGGTTCATGTTGACTTTAATTTTTGTTCGTAAAGAGCACCGATTGGGTCTCCAGATGGTGCCCTGCAGACATAATTAAGTATTGCAATAAATCACATAGTAGTGACACAGCAATTATTCTTGAGCCCTCCACCCCTCCCTTGTCAGGTGCTTGGGGAGGCACCCAGACATTCTTCCAGGTGTCCTGAAACAATGGTGGGCCATCTATTAGGGGCCTAAAGAGGGCAGGGGATGCTGCCATTAACTTTTTACTGTCAGCCAGGACAGATAATAGGTGCAAGATGTGATCTGGGCTGAGGTATTACTCCTCACTGTTGTGGTGCACTTCAGATAGCAGGAGAGGAAACAAGTGGGGGAAAATGCACTAGGCTGTGTCCACAGTTTGAAATGTAAAAACTTAAACACACAATTAGTTCTTTGATTTCACATCACCAAACAACTTGCCTTACAGGTTTTCCCTCAGATTCACAACCTGACTTGTTAATTTCAAAAATGTCTGTTCCTCAGCCTTTTTGTTCGTTCAACATATGTATATTTCAGTGTCCTTTAAATTTGAGCAATGTATAATCCTCTTTACAATCCTTAAGAACGTATTCACAGACCCACCCATTCCCAAGAAGGATATATGGGCATTTGTTTGAGAAACACTGGTCTAAGAATGCAAAATCTTTTTCTATGAAACTGTCTTGCCATGCAAAATATCCAATGTAAAATAGAAATACATTTTATTTTTATACAGTTAAAATGGTTTCTATTATTTTTGTAGGTTTTTTTAAAAAATAACATTTGAGACTTGGTTCAGCTTGGGAAACGACTGCTTGGCTTTTAAATACCTCTGTGCCACATGTCACAACACCTCCTGGGCCTAAAAAGCCCATTCAGGTTTGCCCTTTCCTTCAAAAAGAGAGAAGAACAGAGAAAGTTTTCTGTGTTCTAATGACACCGGTGTACATTCTTGAGTTTCTGGGTTACTTTTGTGAAATTACAGGCTCTCACTCTGTGACAGGCTCTTGAAGCAGAACTCAAAGATCATCGAAACACAGAAAGGACCTGTTATACTTATAGGCTGTAAGGATCTTCTCCCAGTTTTAACTAGGTCCTTTTATCTGTTTCCCGTGGCTGCTGAAATAAAGAACCAGAAACTTAGAGAATCAATAAAACATAAATTTATTTTCTGATAGTTTTTTGGGGGGGTCACAAGTCTGAAATCAACTTCACCAGGCTAAACTCGAGATGCTAGCATGGCTGGTTCCTTCTGGGGGGCTCAGGAAGAATCTGATTTTGCCTCATCCAACTTCTAGTGGCTGTTTCCATTCTTTGTTTTATAACCGGCTCTTCACACCACGCAACCCCCTCGCTTCCATGGTTTTATCGCTAAAGTCCTCTCACCTCACTCATGGGACGTTTACAAAGTCCCTTTTACTTCATAAGACGACTCTCACAGGTTCAAAATGATATAAACATGTTGGGGTTTAATCTAGTACAGTCCGTAGGGCCTAATTTTCCTCCAGCCCTAACTCCATGCCTTCAACCGTAGATCTCCAAGTAGCTTTGACACCGTGTGTCCCAGTCATGAACGAGTCCTAAACAGTCCACCTTCTCTTCCCACCAAAATCTGCCCCACAGCACCAGGTTCCACTCTTTGGTAGCAGCTCTGCCGTTCTCTCTGCCATACAGTTTTGGAACTGAACTACTATTTAAAAAGTTCCCCCGCCGCCTGCCTCATAAGTGCAAGGTCCCGAGTTTAATCCCTGGTACCAAAAAAAAAATAAATACATAAATAAATAAATAAAGATTTAAAATTCCATCCTTTTTCTATCGTCACGTGCCTTGTCTCCTGAGACACAACATTCTGCTTTTGAAATGCGTCCCAACTCAGCCCTTTGCTCATTTTAGCTTTTACCAAGCTCCCACTTGGAACAGTAGAGCATCTTGTTGAGAAATGAATAAGATGCTTAGTTAAATGCCTAGATACTGCTCCACTAGAGTTTCCCTGCACAGGTGTAGTGCTAATGTCCACTGTGAAAAGGGACAAACATTTCTATAAAACGTTCTCCTATTTACACCGAGTGTGATGCTCCCAGGCGGGGCTGAGTGTTCTACCGTTTTCTTCACCTTTCTTTCACTGACAGAGAAGACAGTACTCAGTACCACCCAAGCCCCCTTCAGCAGGTAGCTCTGTCTCCAGTATTGAAAGAATCATCCAAAATACTTTTTTCCCAAATAAAACTTGCTTCTAGTGAACCTTAGATGCTATGTGTTGGGAATCCTTTGATGATCCAATCCCACAGAACTTCAGAAACCAGCGTTAGATATGCAAAAGGAGAAGCATGTGATATAACTACTCCAGAGTTTAAACTTGATCCTGGTTGAATGACTTATCTCCTTCCTAAGTTCAGAAATTTGTTGAGGACAGGAACTGTGACAGATAGCTCATAGTAAATGATAGTAAATGCATAATACAGCTAAATAGAAGAAACTATATTTAAAATCATTTAAATCCAATGTTTGTAAAGAAGCTGTCCTAAGAATTTAACTAAATTCCTAAGAACTATAAGAAAAGCACAATGTATTTACAATGGATACTCAAACATCCACTTGCAAAGAGAATGTTTGGGGCATTTGTTAAACTGAGCTCATTTTTCATCTTCTATGCAACTGTAGCTTCCCAGGAATAGTGTAAATGTTTCATAGTGCATTTTCTATCTCTCAGTTTTAAACCATAATCTTAGCCATTGTGTCATTGGAATATCATACACTGCTAACACATTTCTATGTCTATTTCACGCAAAGAAAGAACTTCATGCGCTGACTTAAACATTTGCTACCTATGAATATCCTTTGAAATTTTTATATGACTTCCAGAGTTTAAATTTGATCTATATTCTCTTTGAACCACCTGTCAATTTTAGTTTTGAAATGACTTTGCTCCAAGCTTCCTGATTCACAAGCACACACCATCACAGTTTTGTGCATCAGGAAAAGCCAACACATATAATTTAATGTTTCATTAGACTAGGCTATTAGGTTTTCTTCATAACTGACTAACTGCAAACAACAAAATTCACAGAGGGTTAGAGCTATTTCTTTCTACAATCTCTTCTTGATATTTTCTTAAGTACTTATAAACCCTACAATGAGATAATACACAGAAGATCTTTAGAATGAGAAATGAGAATAGCACTTTCAAAAATAACACCTAGTGTGTTCCTTCAACTTTATCAGTAGACTAGCTTTTCTTCCTCAACTGTATCATATCATTGCTGAGGGCAGCAAAACCAAGAGACCAAATGTCCCCAGGAGAAACAGGGATGTGATGAAGTAGGACACGACAGCTAGTAAAAATCTTACTACTTCCGGCTTAGAGGAATCTGAGAAGAGAAAAACAACAGGTGAGTGGGTGAGCAGATCAAACTGAAAGTTTTTTCACGTGCTTAGAGCTAATTCATAATTATATAGACATATCTATATAACTGTGAGGAGCCTGAGAAGATCAAGACGAGTAGCCTGCTTTCCCAACTATTCCCTATAAAGACTATAAGCTTCTAGGTGAAAGATCTTTAATGGTGCAGCATTGGTAAATGAAGACAGTTAGTAGCTCCAGTCCTACATAAGGAGGCACAAAGGATATAGAAAATCCTCTCTCCTCTTGATGAAATGCCAAAATACTTAAAGGTTCAGGAGATTCATATCCAGCTGGCTTTGAAGATACAAAATATTGAGAATTACCAAAAGTAAAGTTGCAATATCATTAACTACACATCCAGATAACTACAAGGTGCCCCAAGTGCACAGTACTCCCTGGACAAGACCAGCCAGTTGTGAAACTAGCATCTGACCTTGAGGTTCTTCCTCCTATTGCCATGAGGTCACATAAGGCCTCTCATATACATGAACAGAAGTAAGAGAGAGGAGACAATAAAATTCTCATTCATTGAGTATTGTTCCCAAGAGATCTAGTAAGTGTAAAGCAACTGATAAAGCCCCTAATTACTAATTGGAAAGTTTAAGTATCATCCTATACTTTCAGGCTTCCAGCCAGCACCCACTGGGATAGGGGATTTGAGAAAGATTATATCAGTCAGAAAATATCAAAGCTACACACATTTTTTTAATAAATCAAGAGTAAGGTTTTGAAGTTTTCTGCCTCTCTACATACATGTAAAGTTTTTATTGATAGAAATTTTCTGTACTTAAATTTAAAATGGTTTATATTACAGGTACTTTAATTCCATCACTGATTCAGTGGTATGAAGTTAGAAATGCCAATCTTCACACTCCATCCCCCTTTTATCATCAGAAGCAACAGCATGGTGAGGATAATTTCAAATGATGCTGGTAACTCTTTCCATAAAAATGGCACATATTCTGGATACTTATTATTTAGGGCTGCCCATCTTAGATTGTTCTGGCTGCTATAAAGAAACATCATAGACTGGGCTTCTTACAAATAGTAGAAGTTACTTCTCACCGGTCATAAAGCTAGGAAATCCAAGTCAAGGTGCTGGCAGATTGAGGGTCTGTTGAGGGTCCACTTCCTGGTTCATAGAAAATCTCAGTTTACCCTCACATAGTGGGAAGGAGAAAGGGAGCTCTCTAGAGTTGTTTTTATGAGGACATCGATCTCATTCATGAACATTCCACTTTCCTGACCAAATCCACTTTCTTTTCCACTTTCTCTCCTACAGATCCCCCACCTGTAAATATCATCACCTTGGACTGATTAGGTTTTGAGGAAACGCACACTTTCAGTATATATGTTCTCCCTTTGAATTCTCAGATCCAATGAGTCATGCAAGACCCAGCTATGGAAGATGATGTGATTTGCAGCAAAAGTCTTACATGAGGGAAAAAATGATTCACATAGTAGAGCCATGGAAACATATCTCACAAAGGGTGCTACACACCCAAGGGAGGTGTTGGGATGACCTTATCTAATAGGTATGTTGGAGTCACCTCTTATAAACATAGAGCCCCCAAAATGATTTAGACCTCATGCATATTTCTCCAACATGAGAACTATGCTTTCATTAAGAGGATTCAATAAAAAGACTCTTTCCTCTCTCCTTCCAGCCACAAGTGGGGAGGAAGAAGGAGGGCAGGGGAAAGGGAAGGAAGGAGAAGCTCTTCAGAACAGACCACCCAGGCCATCCCTCCCTCTCCCAAAGCCACTACAGCCACAGGCCTGGCCACCCAGGCAGGAGGGTAAAGACAGAGGGTATTAGGAATGAGACGGGAGGCTTTAAATAAATAGAACTGATTCTTAAGAACCCAAATGAGATATTTTTAAAAACCAAAGGGACTGTACAGTCATAGAATCAAACTCAGACACCATTAAACATCCCTACTGCCCCGAATAGAGAATGTGGCTGGCAAGGTGATTAGAAAAAGTAAAACTGTTTCATGTTTGCCCCACAGTAAAGTTTAGACTCTTCAATAAACTGGCTTTATGAGGCTCATGACTCCTGCATCTTCTGGTTGCTTTGAAAATTGAATAAAGGTTATCATTGCAAGACCTAGTGCCTACACACACTTAATAAACACTAACATCCTCTTCCCTTCTAAATGTTTTCTGCTACCTTTTTATCTTTATCAATAACCTCCATGGGATAAAGTTACTCACATATACATGTATAGATATAAAGTTATTTGCATAAAAGCTTTAGTATAAAATTATGTATTGATACTTGTGTGTGTTTAAATAAAGAGGCTCCTCACCCTCATACTCTCCTCTTTTTTTTTTCTAGGGACAAGAATTCACCTCTCCACCTCAACCCAGAGACAACATTGGTCTACAGTTGCCTGAGGAAAAGCCAAAGATTATGGGGCATTCTACTCCCTCCCCTCTTCCAATAAAATGCAAGTCAAAATCTGAAACTGGATATGAATACAATCTTTTAGGAGATGGTAAGAGACCCAGTCAGGCTAGGGTAAATGTGCAGGACTGCATTTGGAGGATGAAGACTTCCTTCTCTTCACTACTGATTTTCTCCCTCCCTCACCTTCTCCCTTCTTTTTAAAAAAATCTTCCCTCCTTTCTTCCCTTTTCTCTCCTTTCAAAAAACTGAACTTGAATTTCATCAAACCTCTACATATAATTACCAGTAAAACACACAAAATTATTGCAATAAGGAGGTCAACAAAATCTAGTGTATGATATTTTAAAAATTGTACTTGAAAAGGAAGATAAAGAGTGCAAGGGAGTCTGTAAACTAAGAGACCTGAGGTTTGATTTTTAAAAGAGAAGATAGACACTTGAGAGATTTAGCTACCATGTCCAATATATGATCCTTCTTCTTTTTCTTTCTCCTTTCCCTTTTTCCATCCTCTACTCTATTTCCTTTTCCTTTTGTGTGTATGGGGGTGGATAATGGGGATTGAACTCAGAACCTGGTGATTGTAAGGCAGGCACAGCACCACTGAGCTAAATCCCCAGCCCTCTATTTCCTTTTCTTTGAGCATCAACAAGTAGGCTTTCTGTAAAATATCTCATAGAAATCCAATAGATAAAGCAGATAAGGAAAAATACGTTCTGGTTAAAGTAGACATAGGGGTTCAGAGGCCTCTGGTCCAAATTGTGGCAGTTTTTAAGCAGTATGGTGGTTAAATAAAAACAGCCTTCCAAAACCTCAACTCAATAAACCTTTCAACACCCCAATAAAGTGAAGAATATTGCTGAGGATGGGGCCAGTAATAGCCCCCGATGGGGGGACTTAGCTCCATGTCAAGCTGACCAACCTGGAAATGTGCTTCCCAGCATTCTCTTGTCTATATCTTTCTGGGTTGGAGAAGGCTGCAGGAGGACTTTGCATGAGCTTTGGGAGGTGGACATGAAGCAGCCGGCTTATTCATGATGGGACATTTGAATATAGTGAATCTTCCGGATGTGAGTGTCCATTTGGAAAAAGAAGACTCAGGCTAAGAGACTTAGGACTTCTCAGTACTGATTTATGAATATCAAACTGCAAGATGAAAAATAGATGTGAAGAAAAGGCATAAATTTTCTGAGGGAAAATATGAAGCATCAGGCAAAAGGTTGACATTGAAATCCTAGAGACTATGCATAGTTAGATGCTCGCACCGAAAGAAGTTGAAGTAGGAGAGAAAAGAGAAGTCAGCCCAGGTCTAGGGAGTGCAGTGTCCTGAAGACAGTGGAGGCAAGTGGAAGGAGAAAAGTCTTAGCAGTTTGGAAGACTGATGAGAGGTTGTAGCACATAATGTGTGGTGTGTGACACAGGGAGAAACAGTTTGCAGGACAGCCACTGTGCTAACAGCAGATGTTCTGGAAGGAAGGAGAGGGTGTCCACAATCATGTTAACTGAATCTACACCCACTAAGGGACCAGGGTGGAGGCCACTTACTTTTCTCACCTCCAGTGCCAAGTTCTTACTGTTTAGCTTAGCAATTTGTCCAAGAAGTCTCACTTTCTTCTCTCACCATGAGGGAAATGCAGAACAAATTTACCATGGAGGTGGTGAAACAGGGAAAAAATAACTGTGCTGTGCTTTCAGGATATGGCAGTCTCCTCATGTCACATTCTGTATGTTATGCCACAGGCTATTTCATTCATTTATTCCATTAATAAATATCTAGTCCTAATTGTGCAAAGCCCTCTCTCACTGGCTGAGCAAGTTGGGGTACAAAAGACTTCCCAGGTAATAAATTAAATTCAGTGAAATTTTTTTAGAACCATGCTTAATACCCACAGTTAAATATGTAAATGTCTCAAAGAACAGTAGATAAATTGCTATTAAGTGGAGAAGGCAAAGAATACAATTTTCTAGAGGTAGAAACCCTAGCTCAAGCAAGGGTACAACTTGTGGTGGAAAGAAGGTAGTCATTCATGTAATTTTCAAGGACGACTTCTTGAACTTAGCTGCCTATTACCCCATTTATTTTCCCTACAGTTCTCAACCTACACTCATGATCGACGGCATGTGTGACCCATTACTATGGCACATGCTCTGTTGTGCAGGACTCCTAAGCATTTGCTGCAACTGCTAGGCTTTCTGTCAGGCTCACAGCTGTGTGCTGAAATGTAGGCAAAAGACATATTTTTGCAAACAGAAATAACCTTGAATTTACTCAAATATATAAAGTAATTGATTCACATATACTTTCACCAAAACTCTATCATTACTGACACATCTAATAGTTAATATCGTAAGACAAGAGTATTTTGCCATCGTTAATAAAGACATCTTCCATTTCCCCCCCAGGACTGTCTAAGACCACCTAGATTGCCAACACAGACAGTACAAGATGTCCCATTGATTGAAGGAATTGCAGGAATCCTGTGCCTTAGACAGCCCTCGCTGCTTTAGTAATTAGGCTTCCAAAAACACAACCACAGGCACTCCCTGGCTTCTTTCTGAGACAGCCAAAGCACCTGGATATAGAGGCTGAGAATATTGTTTATTCTGGAAAAGCCAAATGTTGGGTTGTAGAACAAGTTTGGATTGAGGAAGCTATAGAGATGCATATTTTCTCATCGGCATCTGTTCTTGTCCAGTCCTCCATAAAAGTGTCCAGTAAAACTCCAGACACAGCCATGCAAAGGGAGCACATGTCAAAAGGAGAGATGGGGCAAGTTCATTTCACACCTGTGGGTCAGCTCACCCCAGGTCCTCCTCCCACACCTGCACTGGAATCAGGCTCTTAGGAATTAAAGATCAAAAAGACTTAACAGCTCATTTTATCCAGCCCCAGGCTCCACAGCAGGAATGCCCTGGGTCTCACACTGGAGGGTCTGGTTTTGTGTGTTTGGGGTGAGGACAGCTCTCTTTGAGATCACACTGCTTGGGCAAAAGAAAGTTCTGATCTCCCAAGGAGGCAGAGGTGGGCATTCTACAAACAGAAAAGCTTTTAGATGTGCAAAGTCCTTTATTATTAAGGAGCTCTGAGAACTTTTTCCATGTGTACTGTTAAGGGGGGGATGCTATTTAAACAAAAACTAAATGCAGCTGTGTCTGCTTTCTCCACCAGTGACATAATTCATCTTTCAGGTAAATAGTTCTTTTGTTTCAGATTATTTTTGCCTCCCTTCATGGGGGCAGAAAACAAAGACCCAGAGGCACAGCATAAATATATTAGAATGAGACCAAAAGTATCGCTGTACTTATTGTACATATTTACGAATATAAAATATCTGAATCGCTCTTAATAAAATTGATATATTTTTTAAAATTTCCTTGGGAACCTTGAAAGAGACCTCAAGGGTCTGAGAAAAGGTAAAAGGGAAATATCATAAGAAATACTCAGAGTAATGGTCTTCAGAATTGTCTGAATATTACAATCAGTTAGGCAGCCTTAAAAATATCAGTGATCTCACCCCAAGGATTCTGATTTCATGGGTTTGGGGTAAGGAGTATGCACTGGAATGTAAAAAAAAAAATTTTTTTTTTTAATGATTCTGATTTACTATATAACCAAGACAGAGAACCTTACCATAATGAAACTATAGCACAAGTTCTACAGAGGGACACAGCTGATGACAATACCCCTATTTAGGAAGTAGTTAATACACTTATAAAACTATATTTGCCATTAAATCAGACTTTGTTTTCTTCTCTGTGATATAATCAGTCATCAGTAACTTCTATAAACATAGTGAAAACTCTCATAATCGCACCCTAGCGCTATTGGGTGGCTTTCTGTGCGGGAGACAGGAATAAGAAGGTCATAGGAGTTGGGAGGGTGATAGTACCAAGGTGGTACCTTAGTTGTAGGAGCTGTGACTGAAGCCGGTGCCTGGGAATTCAGAAGGACTGGAACTGAAACAATGATTTGAAAATATGATGTCCACCTATCTGCCTAATTTTAGAGATTTTGGGAACACACTTATCACAAGGCATTTATAACCAAATATTAAAGTAAAAGATGGCAAATAAAAACTGAAGATGGAGAATACCCAGACAATAAACATTTGGCTTATCAGGCTTACTTGGAGGGAAATGAATTTAGTGATTATCATCATAGAGAAACAGAAATCAAACAAAATGGATTAGTACTGCAAGGAGTTCCTGGCCAAGACAACATGAGAAATTAGGCATTCTGATGCTCAGTAGCTTCGGATTCTTCTCAAAAGAGCCCATGACCTGGGATTCATATTCCATCCTGCTGGGAAGTTAAAAATGGAACTGTAGGGCCAGGGATTTGGCTCAGTGGTTCTGCCACCTGCCTCAAAAGCGCAAGGACCTGAGTTTGATACCCGGTACAAAAAAAAAAACAAAACACTTCAAGAATGGAACTGTAGAAAAACAAACCTATTTGGCAACACAACCAAACAAGGTGTTATAGATAGTTAGGAGGTAAAGTGGGCTATTTATTAATGTACTCATGAATAAAAACAGATTTTTTATAAATGAACTTCACTTTGAGATGATCATGCAGAAGCAGGAGAGAAAATGAAATGAAGAACATGAAAACTTTCGAGGGAAGTCACTGACGGCCGGCAATATGACATCCAGACCTGTTCAGTGTAGATTTTGCTGAAACAACAGTCAGTATTTTAAAAATCTGTCTCTAAGCAGAACTGGTTTCTCATATTGCAGTTATTTTGGCTTCTTTTTTTCCTTCTCCCTTTCTTCGGCTCTTTGAAAAAAATTTTTTTTTGAAATTCAAAGAAATAAATTTTTATATTGCAGGATATCCTATGTCACACACTTTCTTCTGTGCATTTAAAACTTTGTCTACGATGGGGCACAAGTCAAATACAGTACCTATGGAGACATCCGTTGCATGAAATGAGATAAATGTGGATCTCACAGTTCAGTTCTGGCATATACCACGTGCTTCGAAGACACTTCGGTAGAAA